CCCCCCCACACCCCCAGTGGGCCCAGGTCCTGGTTCACCCAGGTCTCCTGCAGCCCCCACCCAGACACTAACCCCCCACCCATCTCATCTACACCTTCCTCCAATACCCTACAGCTCCCTGGGTGTGGATACCCTGCCCCCTCCATATGCACTCCAGCCAGGTCCCTACCCCGCATTGGGCCTAGAGCCCCTTCTCTACCCACATCCTGGGACCACAACTGGGCCAGGCACGGCCTGTCGTGTTTACAGCCCATCTCGCTCCCCGCCCCTGCCCTAGGCTCTGGCCCCACACTGGGTTGAGGGAGCTTAGAGCCTCTGGCTCCGGTGGGGCCGACTGCCGCCCCCTCGCCCTGGACTCTGCTTGCTTTGCTGCTGAGACATTCCAGCCCCGCCACAGCCCTGGGGCTTTTGTAAATGGCGCCGTTTTGTAAACAGAGATTGTTGGAATCAGCCTTGGCGCCGTGCTCCGTCTGTCCAGCGGCTGCGTCCTGCGCCCCTTGGGGGTCTGACCGCTTGTTACCGGAGCCTGGCCCTGCCACCCACCTCTGCTGGGTGTCGCCTGGTAAATCGGACAGCCCTGGTGATAGCCGCGGGGGGTGGGGGGGAGGATCGGCATTAAAGTAGAGGCCAGTCTCCATCCGTGCCCAGGGCTGTCCCCCACCCCCCAGCCTGTCGGGGAATGTCCTGCTGCCTCCCCCACCACCAAGGCACCGGATGCCCCGACCCCCGCCCCTGGTGGGAATCAAACACAGCCAAGCGGGGCCTGTTCTCCCTTTATTTGTGAGTGAGCTGCTTTTCCAAAAGCCCCCCTTCCCGAAGTTCTCTATGTGCCCCCCCTCATTCCCACTCCTCCCGCTCCATTCTATCTGTCTCCGCTTACCCCCGGGGTCTGGGCTACACTACAGCATTGGGTCGACCTAAGGCCGCTTACGTCAACCGAACTGAAAGCGTCAACGCTGAACTTTGGCTCCTGCCAATGTAACCACCCCACTACACCGACTGTGATCACTGCAGCGGCTTCGTGCCCATGTAAGTTAGCGCAGACGTGGCCCTGGTTAAACGACGTCTGCAGTGGTGGCTACTGTCCAGTTGGGCTGCGGTGGGGGCGGCCTGAGCCTCCAAGTCGCTGCAGAGGACTGCGGGTCCCGCTCCTGTCCCCACCCCACCTCGGAGCCAGCCAGGTGGGGATGGTCTGACCCAGCATGGCACAGCTCCCTCGGGGGGCCAGGGAGCAAACAGAGGGCTCTGACGCGCAGCTGTCCCTGCAGACCACAGCATCTCTGTTGCCTTGCTGGGCTCTTGGTCTCTGCTGATGGGCGAGGGCACAGCCCTCTCACAGGACGCAGCTCCAGGCAGCCCCTAAACCAGGCCCATCCCCTGCTCGATGCCCCGGGCAAACAGGTGGATGAGCTGCCTGTGCACCCTGTGGACAAAAGACGGCATCAACAGGACAGCCTGGAAAGTGGGAGTGACAGAAATGGAAGGAAATGTAACAGTGCACAGGGCTAGGTCCTGCACTCAGAGACGAGCACCAAGGCTTTTTGCTACAAGTTGGGGCCTGACCGGTTGGAAGCAACAGAGGAGGAGAAAGACCTGCATGGTCGATCACATGCTGACTATGAACTGCCAATGTGATGTGGCTGTGAAAGGCTAATGCCATCCTAGACTGCGGAGAAGGGTAGCACTGGAAGGGACCTCGAGAGGTCACCTAGTCCCAGCCCCTACTCTCAAGGTAGCACTGTTTAATAACTAGACAGGGGGTCGTCTAACCTGTTCTCCAAACCCTCCAGTGAGACGCCACAGCTTCCCTAGGCAATTTGTTCCAGTGTTTAACCACCCTGACTTCCTAATGTCCAACTTAAACTGCCCTGGCTGCAATTTAAGCCCATTGCTTCTTGTCCTACCCTCAGAGGTGCAGGAGAATGAATTTTCTCCCTCCCCTTTATGACAACCTTTTATGTAATTGAAAATGTTTCTCAGTTCCCCCACCCCCCCAATCTTCTTTTCTCCACACTAAAAAAAACAGGTTTTTCAATCTTCCGTCGTAGGTCCATGTTTTCTAGCCCTTGCATCAGTTTTTTGCTCTCTGGACTGTCTCCAATTTGCCCAGGTCTTACTGCTTGTGTCTTGCTTACAACAATCCCAGAGGGCAGAAAGGGACCAAACTCCCACAATCCTTTGGGAAGCTCCCATAATGCCATGGGGTGGAAGCCCTCATGCCATTGTCAAGTGGTTTTCATGGCACCGACATGGCCTGCTCTGGAGCATTTCCCCCTCCCCTCCCTTCCATAGGGCTACAGACACTCACCTGACACTGATGTCGGCGTGGGGCAGGGTCTCCCCGTCGCAGCTCCAGGAGCTCAGTGGCTGCTCCCCACAGCACAGCCCCCCTAGAAGCCCCTTCCACCCCCTGCGGCTGGGCTGCTCCCCCTCCTCATTGTCCTCCAGCTGCTTGGGGGTGAAGCGCAGGGCCCGTACCCGGTGCACACTCACAAAGGGCAGGTCAAACTGCAGAGGGAAGAGGGGTGCTGGACTGAGCGTGAGGCCTGCGGAGGGACCCAGCTCCAGGGGCCTCTCCCTGCCCCTCCTGGGGCTCATGACCCAGTCTCGGTGGGAGGGATGGCCCCATACCCCACAGTGAGGGTCAGCTGCTCCCCTGATGCTGGAACCCCCTGGGGGCCGGACCCAGAATGGCTAGGGTGCGACCCCCCACAAGGACTGCTTGAGTCTGCCCCCCTCCCACTCACCGTTACAACTCCCCCAACCTGTTGCATGCTGACCCATGGACCCTGTTCCCACCATCTCCCTTCCCCATGGCTCTGACTCCAGGCTTGTGCCCCCTCCTTGTACCCCCAGGTCTGGCCCAAGCCCCCTTCCTGGGCCCTGGGGGTCTACCCCCCCACATACCTGGTCCCGATGGTCCATGTGCCGACTCAGGTGACGCAGGAAGCCCAGGGCTGAGCACTCGCGCACCAGGATGAGGTCGGCCGTGCCGTCGGCTAGGTGGGCGCTGGGCGAGAGGCCATCGGGGCTCTTGGGGCAGGCACTGCTCATGCAGGTCAAGTTAATGGCCAGGAAACGTCCCTGCTCCCGCTGCCACACGCTGGCTGGGGGAGAGACACCGTTACTCCCAGTCTCCCTGCCCCGAACCCCCTACCCCCCCATCCCTCCATCACTCGCTGGCTGGCGGAGAGACACCATTACCCTGGTCCCCCTGCCCCAAGCCGGCCCCTTCCCCCATCCTTCCACCACTCGCTGGCTGGTCCCCCAACCCCCATGCCCATCCCTCCGCCACTCACTGGCTGGGGGAGAGACACCGTTACCCCCAATCCCTCTGCCCCAAATCCCCCACCACTACCACTTGCCAGTTTGGGGGCACTTTAAATCCCAGACTGACACTCCCCCTGGCCTGCACCAGGTAGCCAGTGCCCTTTTGCATGACTTCAGGGGAGTCCAGTGAGTGACAGCAGAGCGGGGGAGGGAGTCAGAGCCAGGACTCCTGGGTTCTCCCCTGGCTCTGGGAGGGGAGTGGGGGGTTGGGGGGGAGGGGGAGGGGTTCTCTCCCCAGATCTGCTGGTGCCTGTGGCTCTGGGCCCAGCTCAGCCTCCTTTTGTTGCATGTCATTGCAGGAACCTCCAGGCTGAGCTGGGTTTACAAGAGCTAGTTAGGGTGTCCCCGGATGCTCCTGCAGCCCCAGCTGGCTTGTTACTGCAAGGGGCAGGGACGCCTGTCCTGTGCTCAGCTCACCTGCAGTCCCAGTGCCTTCCTGCTGCGGCAGCTTCTCCTCCTCGCTGCCCCCCAGGAGCTGGTGACTAGACTCGGAGCAGACAAGGCAGCTGCAAGGGAAGAGGTTATGATAGTGAGTGTCCAGGGCCCCAGCCCGTCCATGGGGCTCTGAGCCATCCTGGGGGAGCTGCCCCAGGTGTGACCAATGCTGCCTGAGTCTGCAGAGAGCCTGAGCCCAT